ATGACATCGAGATAGGTTATTGTAATGAGAAAATACTCGATGTAAAAATAGACTGGGTGCAGAAAATATTTAGTAAAAATCCAGCTTACTTGGAGTTAGTCAAAAATACTTGCTTTATCCTTAATCCTACTTTCTTCACAAATATGATTGCAGAGCTTATGAAGAACTTTAATCAAAGTGAAGGTACTGTATGTTTATTAATTAGTAGTTTAATTTAAACTGACAAATCAATTACTAATTAAACTCGTTTTTTTCAATCTGTTTTTCATTTTATGGTTAAAATGTTCTGTAACTTTTTTGATCTTCAACCTGTCAACAAACTCAAGATAATATTTTTAAACATTTCATCACTCCTACATTTTAATATTGCTTAAAACCGCACCACATTATTATGGCCATATTTAGACAATAAAAAATATTTTTTGTTCCAGGTATCCATACTTTCCAGAGGATGGCTGGCTGTGAACTGAATATGGAAACGAGAGAGCGTACTGGCTTTTTGAAGTATGGTTATGATGGAGAAGACTTTATTGAATTTGAATTAAAAAGTCAGACATGGATTGCTCTGAGAAAAGAGGCTGTTTTTCTCAAACAGCATTGGGATTTGAATCAAGGACAATCCATAGAAATCCGTGAACGCCTCACAAACCAATGCTATGAGTTGCTTAATTCCTTTTTGGTCGCTGGACATAGCTCTGTGTTTAAAACAGGTACAGTTTTTCAGATGACTGAATTTACTTCCAGTACATCAACATTGAATCTCTCCACCTCTGTCTTTTAAGAGTTATCTTTAAAATTACATTTTCAGAAATACTTATGCTTTTGGGCTTTTTTTTTTTTTTTTTTTTTCTTTTGAAGCCATTTGAGTAAACGTTTCCTCATATTTTTTTAACAAACTTGCCCTGTATTGTCATATAAATATAACTAAATCAACACAACTTTGCCTTACTCTGATTATATCTTCCACTTACTACCTCTTCATCCCTTTCCTCTTCTGTTTTCCCCCATCGTGTTCAGATTACCCCTCAGTTTCTCTCCTTCAGAAAACTCCCTCCTCTCCAGTCAGGTGTCACGCTACTGGTTTCTACCCAAAGAGTTTCCTGATGTTCTGGAGGAAGGATGGAGAGGAGATTCATGAAGGTGTGAACCCTGGAGAAGTCCTCAACAATGAGGATAGTACATTCCAGTATCATATTGATCTGGATATTTCATCTATCCCACCTGTGGACTGGGTGAGGTACGACTGTGTGTTTCAGTTTACTGGAGCTGAGGACAAAATCCTGATCAAGTTGGATAAAGAAGTAATCAAGACCAACTGGGGTGAGGATAAATATCCATATTTCAGCATCATAAATAGCAGTACTTTTGGATGTCTTTACTAAAGCATAGGGATTCGGCTTAAATCAGAAAATCTGGAAAACAATAAACATGTTCTGCTCAGAAAGCATCAAAACTGCTTTACTTAAACTTTTGGAGATAATCTGTTTGCCACACTGCTATCATTTCCCCACAGTTTATGTACCATTTTTCAAAAATAAGATCCCAACATGTGACATTTTCACAAACATATGACAATTCTCACATCTGTGGCTCTATATAACAGTTTCCAATTCATGCTGCTCAAGTGAACTGTTAATTTTGTTTGTCTTTGTACAGATGAGTCATCTAAGATGAGAATAATCATCATTTCTGTCATTTCTGTTGTGATTGCCATCATCATCATCGCTTTAGCATTTACTGCCTACAAGAAGAGAAATGGTAAGAGCCTCTTAGAGCTGGACTTCTCTATCAAAGTTCTGTAACATGTTTGCATATTGAAACCCAAATTATCTTTGTTAGTTTCAGAAAGACCATTCACTCCTGGTAAGTAGACCTGGATTTGTTACTCTTTTACTGACATTTATTTAAATTATGTTTCACCAAATAATCTGTGCAATAATTCTACAATTAGTAGATTAACATCATGTTTTTGGTTCTTCAGACTCTGAAAACATGTCTCTCTGAGAAGCTGACTTGAGAATCAAGATGGAGAAATGTGGCATCCTGCTCTGACTTCGGTCTCCTAATGGGATTGTGGGAATTTAATCCATTATTAAGTGGAAATCAGAAATGAAAGAATAAGTTAGATTTATTCAAAGCATTAGGTCATTAAATTTGCACAAATAAAATCCCTCTAAAGATGAACTCCTACATAAGTGATATTTTTGTTCTTTTGAAAATGTCTTTATACTGTATTGTATTTATTGCCTACATATATTGCAAGCCATTGGCAGCAGTTGATAAGCAAAATTTGTACTGAAAACTTTAAAAAGGCCAACTTTAAATGGATGTACATTTAACAGGATTTCTTAACATTATATCCAATGGATGTAAATAAAAGTAAAGTTTAGTGTCTGAATGTAGTACGAACAAGCACTATCATGTATAAATGTGCATGCTGGTGAATGCTAATTTAAATAACCATTTAAATGTGCATTGAATCTAAATTAAAAGACATGCAGCAACACTTTATTGCTAAAAACACAGGATTCAAATGCATGCTGAAAGTAACAACCAACACAGCAGTGGTGTTAGCTTTTGGAAAAGTAACATATGAAGTATGTAATATGTTTAATGGTAAGCACAGTTTATCTATTCCAGCACAGATATATGCTGGCATACATCTGCATTCATGCAGACTTAACATTGATGCACTGTACTTTCCACATTCCCAAAACTTTATACACTAACAATCATATCCAATAAACTGTACCAGTTTTTTGTTTGTGTGTTTTTGTGGGAGTTTAAATGAAATAAATAAAATAAATAAGTTACAGTTAACTGCTTTCTATTTAACCACTTATGATCATGTGACTATCTGCTGCAGGCAGAGTGTGGTGCCAGCTGTGGGTTCTCAGGTACAGCAGAGATTACCAGAAAAATGTAATCATAACTTTATGCTTTTTGTCACTTCTTTTTTCTTTAACCAATACAAAGAAAAAATGTATCCCAAATAAAAGCACAGGTGTGTTTAATTTTTTTTCAGTGTTTTCTAAATTAGCAAATACTCTGTCAAAATTCCACAAATTATTCTGACAAATTATGCTGGATAACTGAGATAATGAGAATGTTGTGAAATATCCTTTATGTTGTTGGATTCTGTTGATTATAATCTGTCCTATTGAGTTCTATGTGTGTACAACTTCTAGTTAGCAGCTATGTTTATCTTGTATGCATTGCAGCCATTTCTGTTTTATATGCTTTGAAGTAATGTTTTTACATGAAGCCTGTCTCCTAAACCTGTTTCAACAGAACAAGGAAACATTCCTGATATTCATGTTTAATAAAATAGTATGTAATTTAAAGATATAATGAAAGTGGATATGCTGAATTCCCCAAAAGTAAAATATGAATTAAATGCAATGTTCTGCTACATTTTTCCTGTTTACTTTAATATTATTTTAGCAGATTTGATTGTGAGATCTATTTCCAAAATGGACACTTATGAGCAATGTGCAGCGACTGTAAACCTAAATCGAGTTGTTATTTTTATCTTTAATTAAATGTTATCTACAATATTATCTACAAATCAGTTTGTCTTTTTTGCCTCCACTATAACATAAACAATGAAGGGAAGATCAGTTATTTGATATGGTATAAGGGGCTTTATTTCTAAAATAAAACTTGCCGATTGCATAGAGCCACAGACTTTACAGCACTCACTCCTGTATGAACAAGCATCAACAATGGGCACTCAAGTGCACTACTTTGCAACAATCCCTCACAGTGAGCGAGCTTGTAGGAACGCGAGGAACTCCATTTTGAAAGGAAGAAATTAGGTAGGTGTGAGCAGCTATCTGTTATGACCAGACCATGCATAGAAAAATATAGAAGCATTAATCCAGTTAAGTTTGTTAAAGAAAAAAGTAGAAAGATAACAGCATTAGTAGCTACTTGCGTTGCTCCATCTAACAGACAAAACAATGAAACGAGATCTGCGCTAGTTTTAAAATGGGATGAAAGAAAGCACACAGTAAATTGCAACAATAGCACAAAAAA